TACTCTTATCTGGATGAACAGTTCAATTTTACCAACCCTTGGTCTACTCTTATCTGGATGAACAGTTAAATTTTACCAATCCTTGGTCTACTCTTATCTGGATGAACAATTCAATTTTACCAACCTTTGATCTACTCTTATCTGGATGAACAGTTCAATTTTACCAATCCTTGGTCTACTCTTATCTGAATGAACAGTTCAATTTTACCAACCTTTGGTCTACTCTTATCTGAATGAACAGTTCAATTTTACCAATCCTTGGTGTACTCTTATCTGGATGAACAGTTCAATTTTACCAACCCTTGATCTACTCTTATCTGGATGAACACTTGAATTTTACCTTCAAGTTTTTATAACGAACACACAGCTCAAAAAGGGCGGATCGCGTTTTTGCGAAAACAAATCATGTATTCTTGAATTCATTATCCGGGCACACTGATAACTAGGTCACGTCGAACCATATTACGACTCGTTAAATTTCTTTAAAATAATAAATATTTTATTAAAATTCAGACACGTCATTTCCAATAATCTTTTGTGTACCGGGCGTGGCCCAGTGATTAGCATACTTGGATGCAGATTGAAAGGTTCAAGTTTACTCCTCAGAAGGCTTCTTGCTTTCAACTATGAGTGTGTAATGACAATGGACAATCTTCTCCTACTAACTACCAGCTACATTTACATTTAGAGCACTTACTCATAAGTTGTTGGTCAAGTTCAAAATACCAATACTATCCCAGTACCTGTATGTTGTGTTATTTTAACCTTAAAAGTAAATGCTTGGGCTACTTATTTAAAAGGTCAAGGCCACTTATCTAAAAGGTCAAGGCTACTTTTTAAAAGGTCAAGGCCACTTATATAAAAGGTCAAGGCTACTTATTTAAAAGGTCAAGGCCTCTTATCTAAAAGGTCACATCCACTTATTTTAAAGGTCAAGGCCTCATATCTAAGAGGTTACATCCACTTATTTAAAAGGTCAAGGCCACTTATATAAAAGGTCAAGCTACTTATTTAAAAGGTCAAGGCCACTTATCTAAAAGGTCACAGCTACTTATTTAAAAAGTCAAGGCCACTTACCTAAAAGGTCACAGCTACTTATTTAAAAGGTCAAGGCCTCTTATCTAAAAGGTCACATCCACTTATTTAAAAGGTCAAGGCCACTTATCTAAAAGGTCACAGCTACTTATTTAAAAGGTCAAGACCAGTTGTCTAAAAGGCCACATCCACTTATTTAAAAGGTCAATGCCAGTTATCTAAAAGGTCACATCCACTTATTTAAAAGGTCAAGGCCACTTATCTAAAAGATCACAGCTACTTATTTAAAAGGTCAAGACCAGTTGTCTAAAAGGTCACATCCACTTATTTAAAAGGTCAAGGCCACTTATCTAAAAGGTCAAGACCATTTATCTAAAAGGTCAAGGCCACTTATTTAAAAAGTCGCGGGCACTTATTGCAATTCTTTTTGTTTTTGACACGTGCAAATAAAAATGACGTTGTTCTTCTATTATCATAAATAGCAGAACGTTTTTTGTCATCAGATTATTTGTTTGAACATAGTCGTTTTAAAAAGGCAAAGATATATTTTTCTTCTTCTATCATGTCAGTAACATAGTTGACAAATATCTTATATTTATTTTATCATTAAATGTAGTGGACATATAGTGTATTAATGTGTTCTAATATCTTCTTTCAGTGGGACTTAGTATGTGATCAGAGCTGGCTCACAACCCTCACGATGACCTTGTTTCTTCTGGGTTGTTTATTTGGACAGTGTCTGTGTCTTCTTGTAGCACACAAGTAAGTATTACATTCAGTTCGAGTATCACACAAGTAACTACGTTCAGTGTGTGTATCCTAGTAACACACGGTAAATATTACACAGGCCAGCGATGATTTTATTGTCTTGAATATTTTAACATGTTCTACAGTAATTCCTGTATGCTGAATCCGAAAATGATATCCATTTTTCTCCATCACATACAGATTTTGCACAAAACGTCATAACGCAATACATAAAAGAAAGACCACAACACAT